CATATTCGTTATTATTATTTTCTTTTTTTAAAAAAAATGCTGACGCTTATTTTTTCTTTATTTTCTCAGAATTAAATGCTTTCTCTCTCCAACCCCCCACCCCACCCCCCCTTTTGCTGTTATGTTTGGAGGCGAAGTCTGCATTTTTGTGCCTGCAGGTGACACACGTTGATTGAAACTAAAATTAATAAATCAGCGGAAAAGCACAGACCTAGGGTTCACAGCGGGGCCCACAAACACGCTCATAAAAGGAGCTTTATGCCCTTGTACAAAGCAGGAATAAATTACGGGAACACTTGTTGCTTTTGGTCTCCCTTTTGCTCCACAGACCGGTATCTTATTTTCGAAGGCTTATTCGTAATCAACAGGTTCCTTGGCGCTTTAGCAGGTGACTTTGTCATTAATCTCTCATTTGACCATTCTGGCATATTAATGAAGCAGGCTCCTCTCTCTCCTTCTCTCTCTCTCTCTCTCTCTCTCTCTCTCTCTCTCTCTCATTCTGGCATAAGGAATTAGTTTAAAAGGTGCACTTGTGTCTAAATTGCTTACAGCTCGCGAGAAGTGCCGCCGCCGACCAAATGCAAAAGAGCATTTTTTCCCCCAGCTTGGGCTGCGCTAAAGCACATTTGACTAACATTATCTTCCTTGCTGTGCTTTTCTTAAACCACATACTTATTTCTTCACCATGGTGCAACTATTACCCGGCCGTGTCAATCATTTTTCCTTTGTCCCCCCTTCTCTTTCGGAGGGGGTGGAAATCTCTATATATTATTACATATTTCCCTCGACCTTTCCCAAACAAAAAAATCCAGATTTTATATCCATGTCGCGCAATAATATCCTTTCTGATTAACGGCGTGCCTCTCCCTCCCCTACCCCCCCACCCCTTCCTCTGTTAATTAAACAGTTCCATCCCATTTGGGGAGGGCTTTTTGGTGCACGGTTTTGGGCCTCAATGGAACACCGATGCTCGTTCGTTTCAACATTTCTTTTCAGAGTGACTTTAATAAATATCATTATATTTAAAAAGTGCTGGAATCCACCTGGTATTTGGGGTCTGCCGGAAAGCCCAAAGTGAGAATTCCTATGGGGCCATTTAAGAGCATTTAAGGAAGGGGGGGCAAGGGAAATGCTTAAGATTTAAGTCTCACATTTGTGATTACTACGATCTGCCAAAATATATAATATTATGACTTTAGGCTGATTTGGGGGAAAGGAGCCGCCAACCACCACCACAACAACAGCACTAAAAAAAAAGCGCCTTTCTGACACTGTATAAAAACAGTTTTGTGGCAATACAATAATTTGCGCATTTCCAAAGAACGCGCCTGGCAATAAATCTGTTTTGTTGAAGGGTTAGGATTTTGTGTGTGTGTGTGTTTCATAACTCCCAGACAAGGAAACAGGCTCCCAACCAAGGGCATGTCTGTTTAAATTTCTGAAAAGTGACGCGCTTACATATTCATATTTTCAGTATGTGTGTGTGTTTTAAAACCTGACACCACAAGCCAAGCTGCTTTTGCATCAGGGGTGTCGTTCCGCAATGTTTTCGACATCTTTTTTTTTTTAGTCTTAATAGCCAAGTGTCTGTCTGTCATGGATTACAGTCAAAGCTATCACGTCATTTGCGGCCTGTCGCACGGAGAGGCTGCCTCGCTTGTACCACTGTAGTGTTTAAAAAAGAGAGAGACAGGCGAGAATGGAGATAAACCAAATCTGGAGTTTGATGGAGAGGTTACTTAGATAGCCAGCTGGGGCTGTCTGAGTATTCGGAGAGAACGGCAACTGCCAGTGTTGAGGCGGACTCCTAAAGCGTCAGCCAGCTTGGCTCTGGAAGGAAAAAAGAAACTCTGGGATAGGGGTGGCTGGTCCATTGCCTGCCATCTTACTTAAAAGCTTGCCAGGGTCACAGTCACCTCATACATCTAAGGCTTCCTGGTCTCTTCCAACTCTACAGTTTATGATTCTGAAGCACTATTAAACAGTCATAAAGTAAAAAGGTAAAGGTACCCCTGCCCATACGGGCCAGTCTTGACAGACTCTAGGGTTGTGCGCCCATCTCACTCTATAGGCCGGGGGCCAGCGCTGTCCGCAGACACTTCCGGGTCACGTGGCCAGCGTGACAAGCTGCATCTGGCGAGCCAGCACAGCACACGGAACGCCGTTTACCATCCCGCTAGTAAGCGGTCCCTATTTATCTACTTGCACCCGGGGGTGCTTTCAAACTGCTAGGTTGGCAGGCGCTGGGACCGAGCAACGGGAGCTCACCCTGCCGCGGGGATTCGAACCGCCGACCTTTCGATCGGCAAGCCCTAGGCGCTGAGGCTTTAACCCACAGCGCCACCCGCGTCCCTTATTAAACAGTCATGGCTTCCCCCAAAGCAGTACTTTTTCTGGAAAAAAAGACGGGGAAACTCATCGCAAAGTTTGTTTATTGGGGACCCGGTTGCAGTGACACAACCAGCCACCCCACAAGATGTGATTAATAAACTCAAGCAGACAATGGTCTGGATTAGAAATGGTCACAACTTTATTGATTACGGAAACAGGCGGATTTTTGGCTTGGGAATTGGGTGTACCGTATTTTTCTGCGTATAAGACGATGTTTTTTGCTAAAAAATGGGTGTCGTCTTATACACGGATAGTGAATGCACGGGGGGAATGTGCGATTAATGGCAGCAGCAAGCAGGAGATTGGCAGCAGCGATTGGGCGGGTGATTGGTGGCTGCGGCAAGGCCTGCTGGCGATTGGCTGCAGCTGCGGCAATTGGGCAGGCGATTGGCGGCTGCGGCAAGAGGGCGGGAGGGCTGTTGGTGGCGGCGAGCGGGCAGACAATAGGCGGCTGTGGCAAGGTGTGTGATCAGCAACGGCTGTGGCAAGCGATCGGCAGTGGCGGGCAGGCGGGTGAGCGATTGGCGGAAGTGACCTCCCCCACCCCCCAAAAAAGCAAAACAACTTAATTTCTTAATTTGGGGTTAAAAAAAAATAGGGGTCGTCTTATACATGGGAGCGTCTGATACACGGAAAAATACGGTATATCTGTTCCAGAGCCCCCCCCCACACACACAAATATTTGATTTTTAAAAGGTAAGAGAACTCAGTTGCCAACATTTCTCTGATGAAAATAGGGACATCCTATTGCATAATAATAAGGGACGCGGGTGGCGCTGTGGGTAAAACCTCAGCGCCTAGGATTTGCCGATCGCATGGTCAGCGGTTCGAATCCCCGCGGCGGGGTGAGCTCCTGTCGTTCGGTCCCAGCTCCTGCCCACCTAGCAGTTCAAAAGCACCCTTAAGTGCAAGTAGATAAATAGGTACCGCTCTGGTGGGAAGGTAAACGGTGTTTCGGTGTGCTGCTCTGGTGCCGGTTCGCCAGAGCAGCTTCGTCACGCTGGCCACGTGACCCGGAAGTGTCTGCGGACAGCGCTGGCCCCCGGCCTATAGAGTGAGATGGGCGCACAACCCTAGAGTCTGGCAAGACTGGCCCGTATGGGCAGGGGTACCTTTACCTTTACTATTGCATAATAATAATTGTATTATTTCTACCCCGCTCATCTGACTGGGTTGCCCCAGCCACTCTGGGCAACTTTCAACATATATAAAAACAGAATAAAACATTAAACATTTTTTTAAAAAAATTCCCTATACAGGGCTGCCGTCAGGTGTCTTCTGTTTTTGTTTTGTTAAATATTAAATTTTCATTATTAACAACCCAACGTATGCCACATTAATACAATACCAAATCACAATACAATTAAGAAAGCCAATTCTCCAATTCCAAATTAAACATTCCTTCAGATGTCTTCGATAGGTTGCTTAGTTACTTTTCTCCTTGGCTTGAGGGTCGCATAACTTCATTCCCTCCAACATTTCTCCGATAGAAATCGGGACGTCCTAAGGAAAAGTGCGACATTCCAGGATTAAATCAGAAATTGGGACAGCGTCTGTAAATCCAGGACTGTCCCTGGAAAATAGGGACACTTGGAGGCTCTTCTGGGAGACTCCTGTTCTCCTCAGAGTCTGTCTCCATTTAAAAAAATGGTAGTTTCTAGTGTGTATTGGTCATATTTCTTTCTTTCTGGACTTCAAGGGAGCTCAGGGCTTTCTGTATCTGTTTTATTTCCCCCATTTCATCCTCACAGCAACTATCCCAATGTCTTGAAGCTGAGAGATGGCGACTAGCCCAAAGTGACTCTGGGCAAATATAATTATCTGTGCTCTGTGTTCGTCAAAACAACTTGGGAAGACAAGGAAAGCGTTGATCTGGAGAATGAAATGTAAAAGCGAGGGTGCCCTGCTGGGTGACTCTACCTGAGAAGGCTATGCCACAACCAGGGCCTTTCCTCTAGGACAGCCTTTCTCAACCTTGGGTCCCCAGATGTTTTTGGCCTACAACTCCCATCATCCCTGACCACTGGTCCTGTGAGCTAGGGATCCTGGGAGTTGTAGGCCAAAAACAGCTGGGGACCCAAGGTTGAGAAAGGCTGCTCTAGGAAGTCCCTTTCCAGCTTCCATTGGCCTTGCCTCTGAAGGCCCTTACGGAAAAGTACGTTCGTGCGGAAGAAAGTAAGTTTTGGGCATGGTTAGTCTGGGGGGCAGTGCAACAGGAGAAACGGGTGCTTTCATTTTGCGTTTGTTGTTGTTTAGTCGTTTAGTCGTGTCCGCCTCTTCGTGACCCCCTGGACCAGAGCACGCCAGGCACTTCTGTCTTCCACTTCCTCCCGCAGTTTGATCAAACTCATGCTGGTAGCTTCGAGAACAGTATCCAACCATCTCGTCCTCTGTCGTCCCCTTCTCCTTGTGCCCTCCATCTTTCCCAACATCCGGGTCTTTTCCAGGGAGTCTTCTCTTCTCATGAGGTGGCCAAAGTATTGGAGCCTCAGCTTCAGGATCTGTCCTTCCAGTGAGCACTCAGGGCTGATTACCTTCAGAATGGAGAGGTTGGATCTTCTTGCAGTCCATGGGACTCTCAAGAGTCTCCTTCAGCACCATAATTCAAAAGCATCAATTCTTCGGCGATCAGCCTTCTTTATGGTCCATCTTTCATCCCTGGAAATAGGACACTAAATTTGGAGAAGTGGATTGCCGTGTTTTGCTTTCTTCCGGTCCTTCCTGCGAACAGGTATGGTTTAAACCAGGGATGGGGAATCTGTGGCCCTCCAGATGTGGTTTGACCTCTACGCCCATCAGGTTCTGGCCAGCAAGGTCAGTGATCAGGGTGATGGGAGCTGGAGTCCCAATAGCATCTGAACAGCCTCTGATTTCAGCAATGCTGCCTGCCATTCATTCCCAGGGCGTAGCCTCTTCTTTCCTCCTCCTATTAAACAACGCTTGTGGTTTTTGTTTCTCTTTTTTTAAGAGTGCAATGTTAATATTTGAGCGTCCATAATATGTGTCTCTTGAGCAAAGGCTTAAGCCTACGGTGTTCTCTCCCACGTGACTCCTGTTTTAGCAATTATTGATGGATATATTGAAACCAGCCAGAAGTTGCTTTATCTTACCTTTTGAGGTTAAAAAGAAAGATTTTTTTAGTCTAGTTTTTATTATTATTATTATAACGGCTTGGCAATTAGCTAATAATAATAATAATAAGTTTTACAATTATAATTTTTCCTTCTCAAATCACTCACCGACTGAATCTGCGGCCTTTTCTATCAAGGACTGGCCCATAATGATTTTGTTGCTGCTGTGTTTTATTTGGCTGGCTCCGCGGTCCCTGAAATGCAAGATTTATCATTAAAATACTGGCAGGTACTTCACTGAAGTGGCACTAGCAACGGTTGTCCTAATGCGTATTTATAAGGAGTGACAGCCAGTTGAGGGTTTGTTGAAATGAGGCCCTTTCCTCTCTCTCTCTCTCTGCCTCTCTCTCTCTCCTCCCTTCCTCCCTTCTTCCTTGAACAACTTGGAAGGTTTCGACTCATTTTGTCTTTTCAGGACTTAGCCAAGATCAGACACAATTCTGCAATGCATATGCAGATTTTGCCTCTTGTTACTTTCTCTAATGAGCCTTCACTTAATCAATTTGACAGTAGCCTTTGTTTTCCCCCCTCCCCAACTCCTCCTTTCTGACACATACATTTACCAAGGAAAGTATTTCAGGAAAGAGTTTGAGGAGTTTCAGGGGGGTATTAGGAAAAAACGACGTCGTGAGGGAGCCATTTTTAGGGAGGCTGGTGGAGTGTTTCTTTTTAAAAGGGAGGGAAGGGAGGGCAAAGTTAAAACCGAGGAGTGGCAATCGCCATGAAGGTATGACTTGCAAAAGCATTAAAATAAGGACATGATTTGAGTTTAATTAAACAGCCACCCACATAAAGCAGCTCTCGAGGAATGGTTAAATCCTTGTTTCCATTACGGGCCAGTTGAGGCATGTGTCCTAATCATGGAGCACCAACAAACTTGCGGGGGGGAGGCTAGGCATGGGAAACAGAGTTATATCAGCAGGACATTGCTTATGAGAGCACACTGGGGCATGTTCAGACTTGGATCACAGCCACAATTTTGCTCCGTCATTCGGCACATCCTCTTGCCGGTGGTCCACAAGGTGCAGCCTCCCTGGGTGCCTGCACTTTAAATCCCGAGGGAAGATATAGTGATGTAATTCCACACGTGCAGCTGTCTCAGATCAGGAAGAACAGAGCAGCCAGGGAGGCTTCAGTGTGTTGAAGATACATTTACTGGGAGAAAACACACACACATAAACTCCCATCAGTCCCAGGTGAACTCCCCAAAGTGGATCTCGTTCTCAAAAATTGGGAGCTCAAAGAGGAAGAAATGCAAGAAGTCACCAGATACCTGCCTGTACCTCTTTGGCTGTGTCTCAGACTTAAAATACTCCCGATAAATGCTTGCTTACCTGAGGCAGTCTCCATTAATTGTCCTGACTCTACCTAGTGCCCCATCCAGCCAAGAGAAACTCACTTATAAAAAACCAGGCACCATGTGCACAATGGGGAGTCATGCGGTTTATCTGAATTTTAAAGTACAGTGGTACCTCGGGTTAAGAACTTAATTCATTCCGGAGGTCCGTTCTTAACCTGAAACTGTTCTTAACCTGAGGTACCACTTTAGCTAATGGGGCCTCCTGCCGCCGCCGGGCAATTTCTGTTCTCATCCTGAAGCAAAGTTCTTTTTTTTTTTTATATAATCTTTATTAATTTTCCAAACATATAAAAAACAAAAAATAAAACAAAACAAAACATACAAAACATACAAACAAATAAACATGTATAATTTCTTAAAATTATTTTCATGAACCTTCTTTCCCGGACTTCCCCATACCTCCCTTTTTCTGCATCCTTATGTTAACCCTTTCTCAGCAACCCTTCGTTTCAATTTGTTCGCTCATTTTCATTATGCATTTTTTAAAGTTAAGATTTACAGCTGCAATTCTCTATTTCTTATAACCATAACATCTCAGCCATCATCAATTTTACAACAGTCTTTAAGATATTTTTTAAATTTCTTCCAGTCCTCTTCCACCGTCTCTCTCCCCTGGTCGCGGATTCTGCCGGTCATCTCTGCCATACCCATGTACTCAGTCACCTTCGCTTGCCATTCTTCCAGAGTAGGTAGCTGTTGCGTCTTCCAATACTTTGCTAGAAGAATTCTCGCCGCTGTGGTAGCATACATAAAGAAATTTCTGTCCTTCCTTGGCACCAATTGGCCTACCATACCCAAAAGAAAGGCCTCTGGCTTTTTCAAAAATGTCCATTTAAGGACTTTTTTAATTTCATTATAGATCATTTCCCAGTAGGCCTTTACCTTCGGGCAGGTCCACCAAAGGTGATAGAAGGTACCTTCAATCTCATTACATTTCCAACATTTGTTACTGGGCAAATGATAGATTTTTGCAAGTTTGACTGGGGTCATGTACCACCTATAGATCATTTTCATTATATTCTCTCTTAATGCATTACAAGCTGTAAACTTAATACCTGAATTCCATAACTGTTCCCAGTCATCAAACATTATGTCATGACCTATGTCTTGTGCCCATTTAATCATGGCTGATTTTACTACTTCCTCTTGTGTATTCCACTTCAGCAGCAAATTGTACATTCTCGACAAGTTCTTGGTATTGGGTTCTAGCAGTTCTGTTTCTAATTTCGACCTCTCCATCTGGAAACCTATTTTCCTGTCCTGTTTAAATACTTCGTTTATCTGACGGTAATGCAACCAGTCTCGTACCTTAGACTTTAATTTATCAAAACTCTGCAATTTAACTCTTTCACCATCTTGTTCTATAATTTCGCAATATTTTGGCCATTTGGACTCCATATTTAGTTTCTTTATCTCTTTGGCCTCCATTGGTGATAACCACCTGGGGGTTTTACTTTCCAACAAATCTTTGTATCTTATCCAGACATTATACAGCGCTTTCCTCACAATATGGTTTTTAAAACCTTTATGCGATTTTACCTTGTCATACCATATATATGCATGCCAACCGAATCTATTATCATGACCTTCCAGATCCAAGATGTCTGTATTCTCAAGAAGTAGCCATTGTTTCAGCCAGCAAAAAGCTGCCGATTCATAATAAAGTCTCAGGTCCGGCAGGCTAGGCGGGTGTCCCCTTCCTCCCTCACCGCTCCATGTGCGTCCCTCCCGAAGCTGCGCGCTCGGTGGAAGAGGACGACCATCCCAGATAGAAGGAGTGTACCGTTCTTCGGTCAAGGGTATACGATAGCTGCGCTCCCCTGCTAGAACCTCCAAACAAGCTGAAGCAAAGTTCTTAACCCGAGGTACTATTTCTGGGTTAGCAGAGTCTGTAACCTGAAGCGTCTGTAACCTGAAGCATCTGTAACCCGAGGTACCACTGTAAACTGATCTGATTTACACCTTCTGCAGTAAAAGTCTGTTTCAAACGATAATGCTCCTTCGGATTTCACACTCCTCAGATCAGATAGTGCGCCAAAGCGCATTACAAATCATGTATTTTAGAATAAAATGCACCTGGAGATGCCTACATTGGAATGAATGTTATTTAAATATGTATTATTCAGATACATAGCTAGGTATTCCAAAATACTATTAAATATTACTCAAGTATCTGCATTTTCATGCTTCTCTTTTTTAAAAACAAAATAGGAGATTAATGCAAAACAAAACAGAGATGTTTCACTGAGGCAAACTGGAAATAGAATGATTTGTCCATTCTTAGTATCTGCTGTCTCCTCTGCCAATTTGGGGAGTTTAGGAACTGAGATCCATTTCACTTGTCTGATGCGATTGCCCAACAGCCATTTGTGATAGGAATGGGTGTCGTCATGTCGCTTTGCTTCCTTTCCCATTTTTTTGATTCCCGATATAAACCATGAGGAATTCAGATGAACTCGGCCTGGAAGGACTCAGAATCCCTGGAAGCATCCGTTCAGACAAAGGCAAGCGAAAACAGGAGCAGGAGCCACAGTAAGGGAAACGTTGGGTGACGATAATAATAATAATAATAATAATAATAATAATAATAATAATAATAATTTATTATTTATACCCAGCCCATCTGGCTGAGTTTCCCCAGCCACGATGTGTCGAGAACTGGCAGGAGCGTTTCAGAGGTTTTTTTAAGTGCTTCATTTGCATTCCTTCACCCTGGGCCACCTTGGACCTCTTCGGAGGAGAAATCTTTGCAAAGATGCTCTGCTCTTCATACACCCAGCAGCCAAACTCTTGTTTTGCAGCCAACCGTTTGGAAGATTTTTGCCACCGGGGTGAAGACAGGACTTCACACCACGACAACTAGGGTGGGCGTCCAGCAGCTCCTGGTTTTGCTGTGACCAAGGCGCAACCACCCCATGGTGGGAGTGACCTTTCCCGTTCTGGAGTCACAGGCAACCCAGGGAGAATTGGCTGCCATCCTTATTCCCCCCTCTCTCCCCTTCTCTGAAGCAGAGAGCTGCTCCTTCTCTCCCTCTTTTCCCCCCTTCCGTCCACACCCAGAAACCTGTGGGCTCCATGCAATCACAAAGACGACATTCCCCACATCCTTTCCCCCACATCAAGTTTTTCGGTCTTGGGACCCTTCCTGCAGCCATTTTTGTTTTTATTTCCGCGGGTGACTATCCGTGATATATGCGGGCTATTTTAAGAATGTAGGACAGAGCGGAGGATTAACATCCTCCTTCTCTTCTCTGTGTATCAGAGCTTCTTAGCCGTAATTAATTGGGACACAGGGTTTTGTACTTTGCGATCAGGTCATTTGACTACGAGCTGCCCAGCTAGATTTTCTTATTGTGTTGTTTTCTGGGGGGATGTGGTTTTTTGGTCTGTTTGTTTCACAAGAGCACATGTTTCCTTCGTTCCTGGGTATCTTTCTAGGGGGAAGATTTAAACTTGCCATTTGAATAAGTCTTTGCCACAAGTGTTTGGCCCCCGGGCAAGAAAGCAAAAGAAAAGAAAGGGGGAGGGTTGGGAAGAGAGAAAGGGAGAGGGGGAGAATCCGGTTTGCTTCGTGCAACCATAGCCCGGAGGCTCCCGTCTTTCTGAGTTTGATGCAACTGGCCTCACACCGTCACATGTCTGTGATGTCAGCGCGGGAGGGCCTTGTGTCAGACAAATCTGGATTTAGGGGAATTATAGCAGATGTTGCAAAATGGCAACAGTTTAGCGAGTCCCTTTCATCCCACCGGCGAGGAGGCAGGTCCGCTAAGTGTACCAGACAGAAAAGAATGTTATCTTTGATCCCTAACACTCATGGGGGAAAGGGGGCGATGG